ACCGTGTTTACACAAAATATTTTTCAAAATCTGCTTTTCATATGTGAAAGAATTGGCCACATCTATCCAACAAATATTAACCCTTTGAAAACCCTGTTTTGTCATTCTTTGCTTATGTTAGCAGTATTTTAGCAACTTCCCCAACAGCTCTGCAGCTCCTTAGTGAAATAAAACCCAACTGCGGGAATAAAACTTCCACAACAAGTCTAAATACTTGAAAATATATCAATATATAATCCAATACTTGTTTCTTCCCATACCAGAGATTCAAAGGCTCTTCAGCTTTTACTCTTCCTTATTACCACTACAGCCTCCTGTGCCTCTTCTGACAGCCTGGCTGTACAGACTTTTCAGCAGTGTCTGGTGTTTCTCTATAAAATCTCCAGTGCCAGTGGGTGCAGGTTTCTGATCCTGCAGGGCCTGACATTCTCCCTAAAAGGCACCTCAGTGTTTCATTCCCTTCTCTTCTTCAGCTGGAAGGGTTTTCTCAACTATTTTCCAGACCACCACATAGCACAGAAACAAAACAGCCAATAATTCAACCACAGTAACCACAGGTTTTGCTCTGGATTATTTTCCCTGAAGGGTCATCCTGGCTCTTTCTCCTTTCTCCACTGCTCTCATCCCCCAGTAGGATAAACAAACCTCCTCTGTCTCCCCCTTCCCATCCCTGCTCTCCCTGTGCAGTGCTGGCCCTGCTGTTCAATGAAGTTCAGAACTGAATCAAGTTCAGTTCCAAGGGATTTTTTTTCTTATGATCCATATTTCTAAAACTAAACTCTATAGAAAATAAGAGTTTTTCTTTCCCAGTTTGAGGCAGAAAATCATAAAAGTATATGAACATGAACTACTTGGTCTGAAGTTTGTTTTACCTTCTCCAATGTACACAGCCTCTGTTGCTATTCTGAATTATCCCTCCACATTATTTTTTCACTATTTAATGTATTTTTAGACCATTAATTTTTACTATATCCACCCAGCTATTAAACCATAACAACTTAAAATCACTATGTCAATAGGACCTTTTTTGCCTTTACTCATTTTTGAATCTGCATATGGCAATCTGGCTCCTGGGCACCCAATATGCCTTTTTTCAGTATCTAATCACTGCGCTTATGCAAACCCTCCAAGCCTGTTCATAATTCTTATTTAAACTATTGTGTCTCAGTAGCTCTTTGATCTGAACACAGTCCACCAGTGCAGCCTCATCAGAGAATCAGAGGGACTGTTCCAGTCCTCCTTGCTTTAGGTTACTCTGCAAGTAAATTTGGTTTGCTTTGACTTTCTGCTCTTTTCCAAAGCTTTTTCCAAAACCATGCCTACTTTGCCTTGTGCTGTAATCCCATTATTTTCTTTGTGCTGAATCATTTGTTTCCAAAGTTGTCTCCTTTCTGGGAATAGACAACTTCAATTATTTTCCTGAGACAGACCTGCACTTTTCCCAAGCTTAATAGTCTCAAATATTTTGGAGTGTTTTTAGTTTCTCTCTGTGGTTTGCTGCTTCTCTGAGCTCCAGACTCTGTGAACCATCACTCAGCTCCCCCAGCTAACATCCCTGACATGTCTGTTATTCCACTTTAAAGAGGATTCATTTGGATGGCACCAGGGAGGATATAAATATCAGCATATCCCAGCACTGTTCTCAGAAAAGGTGCTGATGCCCTGCTTGTTTCTGACACGTACTTCAAGCTGACTTTTTAGATCCTCCATGGATTTTGCCATTTGGGATGACCAATGTGATGCACTGCTCACTTTATCATCCACGTTACCTGCAGAGTAACACTTGCAGGCACCTTCAGATCAACAGTATCTGGGCTTAAAACCAGCCTGAATTTGAAAGGCACCCATTCAAGTATCTAAAAATTAAGCCAGTTTTACTGGCACTAATGCTGGGTTACATGTTTTTACTGTGTACTCCCAGGGACAGGCAGGACCAGCTGGCTGTGCCCCTTGGCACTATTCTTCACCTTCCTGCTCAGGAAGAAAGCAGCACAGTCCCACCTGTCACTGCACAGCTTTCTTTGCCCCCTCTTTTTCTGCTCCATGTTTCAGCCATGCCATGATGGAATGCTCCACTGCAGCATCCTGGCCATTATTGTCCTGGTGTTGTCCTGGTGTGGTCCAAGACCTTGAGAAGCTGCAGTAAAAAGTCATCCTTTGCCATATCTTATTCAGGCATTAGAGGGACATGCCTGTCCCAGGGTGGTCCAGTCAATTTGAGCTGTGTTCTTGAACTGTTCCTGTGGTCACTGGCCACTGATGAATCATTTTAACTACCGTCTGCAACCTAACAGGTCAATGGGGAATGGCTTTCAGCTTAAAAAGATGCAGGTTGAGATTAGATATTAGGAAGGAATTCTTTACTGTAATGGTAATGAGTCACTGGATCAAGTTGTTCAGACACATTGTGGATCCCTATCCCTGGAAGTCCAAGGCCAGGTTGGATGGGACTTTGAGCAACCTGATCTAGAGTAAGGTGTCCTTGCCCACGGCAAGGAGCTGGAACTGGATATTCTTTAAGGTCCTTTAGAACCCAAACCATTCTGTCATTTTATGATCTGGCCAAGTTCCTGAGATCCTCAGCTCTGTGAAGGACCCACTGGACAAGGCCACAGCAACCAAGAGAAGTGATTCCAGATTTCTCCCTGCCAGACCAGCTCCCAAAACCATCTCAGTCACAGGAGCAATAAGTGCCAAGGATCCAAAGGCTCCAGGCCCACAGCACACAGGTCTCTCTGCCACCCACAGCTTAGACATGGTCACAATACTTTGTCAAGGGCTATTACAAGCCTGCATATGTAGAAATTAGGAATCAGGCTCTGGCTTCCCACTCAAGGTCTCCCTTCTGTGTGTAAGTACAAAGGCTCAGTAAAGCCATTGCATTTAGACTTTATACTCTGGGAGCACTCAACCACTGGCATAAGTACATCATAAAATAGACAAAGAGCTGTACTATGTACCAATGGAGCTTAGCATTTCCTGGGGTTATTGAGGAAGGCAGTACCTTAAGATGTGAAGAGTGATGGCTAACAGAGTCTTTTCTGCAGCACTTCTCACCTTAGACCTCTCCTTGTTGCCTGTAAGAACTCCAATCTGCATTTGCAGATCAACTATATCTAGGCCACTGAATAAAAACAGCCTGAATTTGAAAGCCATGATGTGCTTGCAGCACCCTATCAAATGCCTAAACATCAGGCAGCTTTACCAATGTGGTTGTTTCCACACTTCTGAAAGGCTTCTGGCTCCCAATCTGAATCACTGCCTCTGCAGCCTAGCACAGGCCCTCCAAAGCCATCTCAGTTTGGCTCCCTCTCCACCAGCCCTGTTCATCCACACAGAGTCATAGAGCCATAGGATGGTTAAGTTGGAAAAGACCTCAAAGATCACCAAGTCCAACTGCTAGTAGCAGTAGATGCATGTGTAGCGCATGTGTAGAAGCATGAAAGGGATTGCTGAATATGCTGTTTCTTCTCTAAAACACTGATAAATACCTCAAGCTGAGTGCAGATTGCTGTTTGTCTAGTACTGAATCTGACAGAGGCTACTATCATTTTTTGAGCTCCCCAGTTTCCACTCACCCTCTTGTTTCTGTAGGGGTTTATTATGGAAGAGCCTTGTTCTCTCAGACTTTGCAGTGTCCTTGGTCCCATCTCAAAATAAATAATTTCTGCTTGGAAAAACTCACTAAATCATAGCAGAAATTTGGTGAAAGGGGAGACACCAAGCAGAGAGCTGCATTTTTGAGGTTTTGCTTTTTAATTAAGCTTCTGTGATTTAAAATTACAAACTGAGTACAAAGCTCCTGCAAAGCCAGCCTGCCTTTCCTCCTGCCTTTCCTGCAAGGGGCTGTCAGCTCCGCTGGGGCTGGACCTGCTGTCCCGGGCAGTCTGGCTTAGGCTCCCAGAAGAGCAGAGCTTTCTGTCTGGAGAGTTGGTGGGCAGCTCGCCTGCTGCAAATGCATTTCTCTGCTGCTCTCCTTTGGTCCGAAGGAGCTGCAGAATTCTCCTCCTCTTATGTAATGGCCTGCTGGTGTCTTTGCTTGGAAAACCTCTTTTTCAGCTGGAGGTTGTCAGGAGCTGTGTCCTACCTCTCTTGGGTCACTGCTGAGAGAGCAGCTGGCAGAGGGAGATGTGCCAGGGTGTGGGGCAGCAGAAAGGAGCAGCTCGTCTCCCCTTCCTTCCCTTGTGTCCAGCATTTCCCGGGGTCGCCCTGTTCCTCACAGGAGCATGGGGCAGCTCCGTCTGGGCTACCCGGGGCAGCAAATGGGGAGAAGGGGAAATTTGGGCTGGGAGCTTTGACTGGAGCAGTGCCTACCGTGTGTCGAGAGCCACAGCGCGGATGGGGCAGAGCCGGGAGCGGGGGGGATGCGGGGGGACAGCGGGATGAGAGCGGAGCGCGGCGGGGGGATGCGGTGGGACAGCGGGATGAGAGCGGAGCGCGGCCAGGAGATGCAGCAGCCGCGGGACCGGGGCATGGAGAGAGGAGTGCGGCGCGGGGATGCTGCAGCCGCGGGACGAGAGTGGAGCACGGCGGCTGCTGCTGCTGCTTCTGCGGGAAGCGGATCTCCAAGTCTCCGGGCCGAGCTCTCCCTCCTCCGGCAACCGGCGGGGATGGGGAGGGGGAGCGAGGGAGGGGCACGGAGGGGTCGGGGGACGTTAAAATGCAGCATCATCCTCCGGCCCCGGCGAATTCCGTGTGTGTGTGTGTGTGAAGGGGCGGAGGGGGGAAGCGCAGCTCCGGCTCCCGGAGCAGGGGCCGGGCGCGGGGCTGCGCGGGGCGCGGAGCGGAGCGGGCACTGCGGAGCCGGCAGCGCTCCCGGTGCAACGCCCGAGCCTCGCCGGAGAAAGGGGGGCACCGGGCGGGAGGGGAGGGAGGGGAAGGGGGGCGGCGTTGCTGCCTGGCTTGGGGGAGGGAGGAGAGCGGGGTGGGGGGAAAAAAAAGGAGAGAAAGAGGGAAAAAAAGGCAAGGAACCCCCCCTTTCCTCCCTCCCCTGCCCGGTCCCTTCCATCTCCGGCACACACACACACACCCGCACGCACACACACACCCCATTGATCAATATTTGGCTGTCTTGCTGCAACTTGCTGCAGTCTTTTAAAGGAGTAGTAGAGAGAGAGGGAGAGAGAAAGGGAAACTGGCAGGAAGGGGTAAGGAGCTACACATGTCACATGTGCTTTCTAAGACGGCCAGGAGCATCTGCAGGCTGGATCTGGTGGAGGATGCTGCGGCAGGTGATACACAGAGGGCTCCAGTCGTTTTTCTACAAGCTGGGCTTATTCGTGAGCAGGCATCCGGTGTTTTTCCTCACTGTGCCCGCAGTCCTGACCATCATCTTCGGCTTCAGCCTGCTCAACCGCTTCCAGCCTGACACTGACCTGGAGAGCCTGGTAGCCCCCAGCCACAGCCTGGCCAAGATCGAGAGGAGCTTAGCCAGCAGCCTTTTCTCCCTCGATCAATCCAAAAGCCAGCTGTATTCGGACTTGCACACCCCGGGGAGGTATGGCAGGGTGATTCTCCTCTCCAAACCCGGAGGCAATATTTTGCATCAGGCTGATGTGATCCTGCAGATCCACCGAGCCGTGCTGGAAATGAAGGTGAACTACAAAGGCTATAATTATACTTTTTCCCATCTGTGTGTGTTGAGAAATCAGGATAAGAAATGCGTGCTGGATGATATTATTTCAGTGCTAGAGGATCTGAGGCAGGCTGCCCTCTCCAATAAGACAACAGCCAGGGTGCAAGTGAGCTATCCCAACACTAAATTAAAGGTATGCTCTTACTGCATGCTTTTGCCAATTAAAGAGGCAGCACTTCATTTCTTGTCCTAAACAGCAAAGAGAAATATAATCATATCTATCTCTCTCTATCGAAATGTGTGTGATCTGGGCTTTCCTCGTGAAGCAGCTGAATCCGGTGCCTTGCTTTTGCTCTGGGCGAGGAGGGAGGGTGGGGAACCGGACGCTGCCGCCGGAGCAGGAGAAGAAGGGAGCGGAGAAGAGCCTGAGCACCGGGAGACCTTGCGATGCCTTCAAGGTTCAATTCATGGGGGGAAAGGGACAGGAGGTGGGTGGGGGGTTGAGAGCTGGTTTGCACTATCACCTTTTCCAGCCTCTCTGCTGTGGTGGGATAATTTGTCTTTAATGTGGCCAGGAAAAGCTTTCTTCAAAGGCACAGTGAGGTCCTGTGTCTCCCTGCCCCTGCCAGTGCTGTAAGAGCAGCAGGAGGTTTGGGCCAGAAACAATTTCAGGTGTCCTGCCTTCTTTACCTGCATGCAAAGAAGGTGAAGGGAAGTGGTTTTATTTTTTTTTTCTCTCTCAGTGTAAAAATTATTAACTCTCTCACTGATGGATGGGCTGGAGTTTTGGGATGGATCCCACCAGCTAGAGGCTTCCAGCAAAGTTGAAACAAGGTAAAAGGTGAAAGAAGTTTCAGTCCTCCCAATTAAAAGAGCAAACAATTTGGCACTAATTATCTCAGGACTATTTCCCTGGCACACAAGCACCCATCTGCTTTCCCTCCCATCTGGAGCAGTTCTGCTCACCAGGACTAACCTGCTGTGAGTAAATAAGGTACAAAGTTTGCAGGTAGCTCATGAAAGAAGTTTTTGTGGATTACAGTACCTCTGCATGCTCCCCTGGGCATTGCACCAGAGGCAGGATTTATCTAACACAGTGTAACAAACTCCCTAGGACACTATTTATTCATGGCTCAGGTCACAGGGGAGAGGACATGCTCCTCCTTGTAAACCAGAGATCTCTGGGGTTACTTCTCCCCCTTTTTCAGAGTTCCTTGGGGGTAAGGGACAAGTGCTGGTACTCTTGCAAGTACCAGCGCTAAGATCCTGAAGTTATAATTCGTTTCTTACTGTACATTTACCAGAAAAAGAACCCATAAAGTCAGTCTCTGTTCTGAAATCTGAAGCAGAGACACAGATTGATTTTATTTGATTGTCTTTTTCCTTCAATAAAAGTGCCAGGTGGAGCAGTTTGGATTTGGTCCCGTGGCTGTAGATGTTACAGTAATTGCTTTGTACAGAGTTGTGGCAGCCTGAGTGGAGTGTGTGGAAATGAAAAGGTGTCCTTGCTACTGCTGGAAAGTCCTGTGTGCAAAGAGTGCTTGGAAAAACAAGTTATTCTGGATTAAATATCCCTGAACAAATTTTATCTTCTAGTGTGCTGCAAAGATAATCCAGCTACTGCAGAATTAAAGTGAATCCTTTACATTTTGCTTATTTTTAGAATTGAAATTAAGGTAGTTCAGTGGAAAGCACTGATAATCTAGACTAACAGTGTTATAAAGCAGCTTTATACAGAAATAGTCACCCTACTCTCTCAATCCAGGTTAGTTTTCTTCTCTAGACAAACCCTAACTGATCTTATCAAAACTAGGATGCAGTCACTTGCAATGTGGTTTTTTTTCATTAGAAGATTGCCTACAGCTCCTCCTTTTTTAAAAAAGATAAAAGCAAAGGAAAAGATAATGTGGTAAAATGTGTTCTGGATTAGCTACGTATTGGATTGCCAGATAATTCACACACAGAGAAAGTTTTTCCCAAAACATAGAAGTCTAACTCTGAGCACTGCCAAACACCATCCCAGCACCTTCAATCCCCCAAGGAGTTGTTGTGTTTTGTCTTTTGAGTGAGGGAATAAACATCCTTAAGTAACTCAGTTTAAAGCTGGACAGAGCAGGGAGCTTTCTGTCCTCTTGCCAGTGGAAGAAGGTAAAGCCACCAAAGCCAGTGACTGCACTTCAGAGAAAAGCCAGCAATTACAACACTTTTCTATGGGTCCTGCTTTTACTGAGAAAAATAAACACACTTTGCCACAATTTTCCTTCTTGTTGTATATTAAGGACTCTGTTATGGATGTGTAGTCAGCCCTGAACCTGGGCTGGTCTTCAGCAATGGTGTGTCTGCAGAGACTCACCTTCTCTGGTCTCTTTGGCTCCAGCTGCTGGGATTGAATTACTGTTTTGTATTAAATAATTCCCTAGTTTATCTCTGTCATCTTTGTTTCCCATCTACCAAGGGTTAGGAAATTGTGGGCAACATCTTGTGAACTCCTTCAAACCATGGGCAAGTTCTTGGCTTAATTCTATAATAGAATGAACCTGGGCTGGTCTTCAGCAATGGTGTGTCTGCAGAGACTCACCTTCTCTGGTCTCTTTGGCTCCAGCTGCTGGGATTGAATTACTGTTTTGTATTAAATAATTCCCTAGTTTATCTCTGTCATCTTTGTTGTCCCATCTACCAAGGGTTAGGAAATTGTGGACAGCATCTTGTGAAATCCTTCAAACCATGGGAAAGATCTTGGCTTAATCCAGGCTCTCAGGCTGTTTACTGATCTCCCTCTCTTTGCACCTCTGAGCAAAGGCTGTGGAAACTCGGGCCTGTATTTCTTGTTTTGAGGTGTCTCATTGTGTTTAAACAGGAACATCTCATGCTGCACCCATTTGGGTAGATGAATTTCTGGATGTTCAGCAGAGGGAAACAACCCCCGTGGCTGTATCTGTGAGGTTTTGCATTTCTTTACACTTGAGTTGTGACATTAAGGAAAAGTTGTGGCTAAACCTCATGGGACTGCAAAGAAGAGAACCAAATCTGCCTGCTTTTATTCAGTGTGGGCCAGTGTTCATCACATTCATTGGTCCATGCCCTTAGGATCCTTCTCTGCTAAACTTTCCTGCACCATTAGGACCCACTAGGATCTTCTAGGTTTCCTTACCTTTCCAAAGATCATATTGCTTGGTTAATACTGGTAGGTTTTGCTCTTTTAATAATGGCCTCAAATTAAAAAAGAAAATTCTAAAAACAATATGAGGATTTACAAACTATGAAGGTGCCCCATATGTGTTTAGTTTACAACAGTTTAGTTTACTTAGCATGGGTCAAGTGTCAAACTGTGCTGGTCTGGGACACAATGACAGTGCTGTTCCACTTCTGCTCCATCTGGGAGCTGCAAAAACATCTTGTAGTTTTGTATTTCCCTCAAGCCTTTTGAGAAGCTTTCACTTTGTCTCTGTTCTCATCTCCTGATGGAGGCCAAATCAGTTCAAACCTCTCAGGTGAGGCTGGATGAAGGCTGACAGGGGGTGAGTTCTTGGCAGGTTTCCCACAGGACTTTGTGGGAACCACTCAAGCAGGTTTCAGCAAAATGCTCCAGTTTTGAAGCAGCTGTTATCAGGCTGCAAATCTGATGAAACTGCTTGGCTTTTCCTGAGGAAATCTGGATGTGAAGGATAATTGTTTAACCCTTACTTGCTGTAGTGTTGGAAGAATTTATAGCCCTAAATACTTCTGCTTTCATTACACCAACATAAATCAGGAACTTGGTCTCTCCACTTACCAGAGAAGGAGCAGACACAGCATTCACATTCAGAGCACAGACTGCAGGGTGGTTTCAAATGCCTGAGATGGGTTTAAAATCCACTCTGGCTACTAAGGGGTGATTGTAGGCAAGTGCAGGTGAACCATGCTGAAGGAAAATGCCAGCCCCTGTTGCTTAGGGGACACACTAGCCTGCTCACTGCAGTCTGCAGCCCAGCCAGAGAGTGACTTGCCCAAGGTCATGCAGATAGACCATGGCAGAGCAGGAAAACAAAGCTGGATATATGAAGTCTTGATGAAGATTTTTTAGACACTTGCTGGAGAAACATTACTCATGATTTCCACAGTTCAGGATACAAAAAAGGTGTTCCTGTGCTTGGGGTCTGGACTGTGCCCTAGCTTGCACAGAATGGGCAAATCTACACTAAGCACTCACCATCAGTCATCAAACTGTTAAATCTCAAGTTTTGGCAAATATCAGCTTTGTTTTTGTCAGTTGAGACTTCCAGAACAGTGACCGGGCATGACTTGGGAGACAGCATGGGAAAGAGTCCACTCTGGCTTGGTAAATCCGCTCCATCCTGCTGATAACAGTGTGTGGTGTTCTTAGAAGTGAGCACATTGTGCCCCTGCCTCCAGGGCCAGAATGTGGTGTGAGGCACAGTTTATTTGTTGGTATAAACAGAATTATTGATTACCTGAGGATTACTTTTTGTGTACCATGAAATATGAGGGAAGAGATTGCTTTTTTACCCTGATTCGCCTATAACCACAGAAAATTTGCTGTTCTATTCCAGAAAAAGCCAAAAAAAAACCCAAATAGAAATAGTGAAAGTTATTTCTGAACACAATTTTTATATGGAAGGAAAAAAAAGAAAAGCATAAAAACATTTTTTCAGGTATTTCATCTTTATTGTTTCTTTGTTGCTTTTCATGTTTATTTGCTACTTTGTCTGAGAAAATATAATAACTGAGAACTTGCCTGTCTGAGATCAAAATAAATATGACAACTGCTGGTTTAAATAAACCTTTCTCAGCAGATTGGTTCCTGTAATATTGCCTTCAATTAATTAAGTATCAGTCATTTATGAACACTAGGCGAAATAGCAGCCAATAAACCAGAAATCTCTATTACCACATTTGTGATAAACACATCAGCTGGATATTGAGTCTGCTCTTGCTTAAGCTGAAGCATTACTTGCATTCACTTAACATCTTCAAACCTCTAATTGCAGTTTTGCTACTGGCCAGATTCTCAATTTTTCTCACATTAACAGCTGTACTTTTAAATGAGTCTCGCTCCATTTGCATTTGTGGAGTCTTTCTGGCTGCTCTAAGATTAATCCCTCCTTAGATATCCCTGAGGGGGATGCCTCTATGGGACAGAGAAGATGTGAAACCAGAGCCCACCTCCATCAGAGTAGGCATCTATGCACTGAT